ATTGCGTAATTGAACTTAGAATTGATTGATGTGTAATAGTCTATGTTTGGACTTCCTTCCTGTATAAATAATTGTGATCAATGATCAGAGTGCGCAGTGGAAGCGTGGACGCTATTCAGTTTTGAATATGACATTGATTTATCGTTGAGATTTTATCTTGTATTGTGTTGAGAACTGTAGTGATCGACCTGAGTCCCAGGCGAGAGCTGGGCAGGCGCCCCCCCGCCCCCGAACCCTTTGGTTCGCGCGTAGGGGAGTGGGGCTGTTTACAAGTGGTATGCAGAGCTAGGCTTTCAGATCTCTGTAGTGTATCCTACGGGCTTGAAGTTTAGGATGCCGACTGTGGGTTTTGTTTTTACGTGATTCTTGCGGATGTCTGCGAGCTGATTGGTACAAGATGAATGTCTGAGGACACATTCTTTTAAGGAGGGGGAGATGTGACGGCCGACCGAAAAGTATAAGTTGTGAGAACCCGTACTTTCCCATTTTCTAGGTTTTATTTATTAATGGCTTGTTTCTTTTCTGCGTTTCTTTAGTCGGGAAATTTCCTAAGATATTTTTAATAGGGCTGATTAATAGTTTTTGCATGATTTTTCTAGTATCAAATACGGTTTGAGAAATTAGAGTGTATACAATATGTAGGACCCACTAGGGCGAAAAGTCGGAAAAATTCTAACCAAATTAGTTTAAGTTCCGGATACGGGTGAAATTTTATCGGTGTTAAGAGATAAGTAGAGGAGCGTGAAAGTGAATTGACTGTGAGAGGGAAAAAGAAGGATAGGAATGCATTAATGAAGTGACAAGTGTCACCTTAAGAGTGGTGGTCACTTATTTGACTTTTTGACCTTTCTTACCAATTGATTAAATATCTCAAAATTACCACAAAAATCACTCTTTTCTTCACCATTGTGGCCGGCCCTCTCTAGCTAAGAAGAAAGAAAAACTCTCCAAGATTCTTGCTTCCATTTTGCTTGAGTGTAACCATCCAACCATTTGATCTTGTTTCTACTCCATGAAACCTTTCCATTTGGTGCTAGTAAGTGATTTGGTGAAGTGTTTAAGGAAGCTAAGGTGTCGAACAACTCTCCCTCTCTTGTTTACTAGGTGAGTGGTGATTGAACTTCCTCCTACACTTAATGAAGCTTAAGTTGTGCTTAATGGTAGCTAAAGTGATGAATTTGTGGTTTATTTCTTGGTTTGAGATGAATTGGTGAAGTTTTCAATTTATTGATGAATTTTCTGGTTTAATTGTGATCATGATGTTGTGGTTATCTATGATGGTTGGAATTGATGGCTAATGACTATAGTAGGTGTACATGATTGGTAATTGTAACCAATTTTGGGTTTGGAAGGAATTTGAGAAAGTTAGGGTTTCATAACCCCCTTTCTGTCCGGTTTTGTATCATATGGTTAGAGGCCGAATTGGCCTTGGCTCAAAACACGAAAGTTGTAGGTATTGATTTTTTAAGGGTGTCTGTAAACTTTCAGGTCAATTGGAGTAGTGTAGAATGAGATAAACCGAAATTACTATTGCTGTTCTGGGTTCATCAGGATGTTAGAACTGTGTCTGAAATGGGATGTTTTGACTGGAATTGTTTTGGATTTGGGTGTTGAGGTCTTCTGATGAAATGTAGCTTGATGTCCTAGCTACCATATGCCTTTGGAATTTCTGCATTTGGACCTGTTTAGACTGAGTTGTACTGATTACAGCATAGTGTAATTTGTAAACCTGCAATTACGGTTCTGGTTTGTTATTTGGCATATTTGACTTAGTTGTGCTGGGATTTGGACTGAGTGACCTTCTACATTGTTGTAGCCCTGGTTCTTAGCTTCGAAACGGTGGGTCTTGGACCTCCATCCGATACTCGTAGTACCTTTGGTGCCATTACCGCAAAAGGACGTCAAAACTGTTTTTCTGGTTTTGAGCTTAACTTTCATTTCCGGACTTTTCCCTAGCTTGACTTGTACTAGTACTACTTGGAACTTGCTGAATGGCTATTGGATGAACTTGTTGTTGTGTGTGTACCTTTGGGTTGGAATGAGGAAATAATGAAGCCATGATGGCTGGAAAAGTTAGCAAATTCAGGGGAAGTGCTGTCCGAACTTTGAAGGGACTTGTTTGCATTGAGTTTGTGATCTAAGACTTGGATTTGAGCAAGGCAATGTTATATGATGGATGATTTCTGAGCCATGGAGGTGAGTGACCCTAAACTATTTCCAAAGTACTTGTGAAACGTTTCTTGCATTATTTACTTTTGAACTGTTTCCAAAGTTACTTTTGAACTGTTTTCTTGCATATCATGCGTGCTTATATGTGAGTGTTCCTTGTTTGTTATGTTTCTTGATTATATGGCTTGTATATATGACTGATAACATGTTAAACGCTTTCAATGATTAGCCAAAACGAGTTTTCTAGGCGAGTGTGTACTTTATCGCACTCAACCTAAATGATTGTGAACTTTTCAATGATTGAGCGATTGAAATGCTACTTGTGCATGAATGTAAGCCTTTTGGCTGAACTGGCCACTGCCCCTTGTTACCGATCGACTCGAGCCAGAAGCGGACTCGGTCGGGCGATATGGTGACCTGGGTGAACGTTTGGTATACTCGAGTATTACCTTTGTAGGTTGGTGGAGGTTGGTGGAAAATGATGCAATTTCGAATGAAAAAAAAAGGAAATGACAGGAGAACGAACGTATCTTTTCATGAATGTTACTATCGCTTTCCATTGTACATGTTTCTTGTAAATGTTGTAATTGTTTCTGGACTTATCATTTGATTTATGACATCATTGAAAAGAAATATTGTTAAACCGATTTGATTACTGATTTTCTGGTTACTCGCTGAGCCTCTAGCTCACCCCAAAAATGTTTTATTCCCCTCCACAGGGCTCAAAGCGAAGGAAGGGCTTGTAGTGTTAAATCATGGATCATCTCATGTATGGATTGAGTTTGGATTTCCTTTTGTGTAATCATTCATATTGGGATTGTATTGAACGTTTAGAATTGATTGGATGTGTAATAGTCTAGTTTTGGACTTCCTCCTGTATAATAATTGTGATCAAGGATCAGAGTGGCGCAGTGGAAGCGTGGACGCTTCGTTTTGATATGATATTTGATTTATATTTGAGATTTTATCTTGTATTTGTTTGAGAACTGTAGTGATCGACTGAGTCCCGGCGAGAGCTGGGCAGGCGGCCCGCCGAACCCTTTGGTTCGCCTTAGGGGGAGGTGGGGCTGTTACAAGTGGTATCAGAGCTTAGGCTTCAGATCTCTGTAGTGTATCCTAGGCTTGAAGTTTAGGATGCCGGACTGTGGGTTTGGTTTTTAGTGATTCTTGCGGGATGTCTCGACTTGATTGGTACAAGATGGAATGTCGAGGACGACATTCTTTTAAGGAGGGGAGATTGTGACGCCCCGAAAAGTATAAGTGTGAGAACCCATACTTTTCCCATTTTCTAGGGTTTTATTTATTTAATGGCTTGTTTTCTGCATTTTCTTTAGTAGTGAAATTTTCTAGATATTTTTAATGAGCAGATATAGTTTTTGGATGATTTTCTAGTATCAAATAGGTTTTGAGAAATTAAGAGTGTATACCGGATGTGGGACCAACTAGGGCGAAAAGTTCGGAAAAATTCGACCAATTAGGTTAAGTTCCGGATACTGGGTGAAATTTATCGGGTGTTAAGAGATAAGTAGAGGAGGTGAGAGGGAAAAAGAAGGATAGGAATGCATTAATGAAGTGACAAGTGTCACCTTAAGAGTGGTGGTCACTTATTTGACTTTTTGACCTTTCTTACCAATTGATTAAATATCTCAAAATTACCACAAAAATCACTCTTTTCTTCACCATTGTGGCCGGCCCTCTCTAGCTAAGAATAAAGAAAAACTCTCCAAGATTCTTGCTTCCATTTTGCTTGAGTGTAACCATCCAACCATTTGATCTTGTTTCTACTCCATAAAACCTTTCCATTTGGTGCTAGTAAGTGATTTGGTGAAGTGTTTAAGGAAGCTAAGGTGTCGAACAACTCTCCCTCTCTTGTTTACTAGGTGAGTGGTGATTGAACTTCCTCCTACACTTAATGAAGCTTAAGTTGTGCTTAATGGTAGCTAAAGTGATGAATTTGTGGTTTATTTCTTGGTTTGAGATGAATTGGTGAAGTTTTCAATTTATTGATGAATTTTCTGGTTTAATTGTGATCATGATGTTGTGGTTATCTATGATGGTTGGAATTGATGGCTAATGACTATAGTAGGTGTACATGATTGGTAATTGTAACCAATTTTGGGTTTGGAAGGAATTTGAGAAAGTTAGGGTTTCATAACCCCCTTTCTGTCCGGTTTTGTATCATATGGTTAGAAGGCCGAATTGGCCTTGGCTCAAAACATGAAAGTTGTAGGTATTGATGTTTTAAGGGTGCCTGTAAACTTTCAGGTCAATTGGAGTAGTGTAGAATGAGATAAGCCGAAATTACTATTGCTGTTCTGGGTTCATCAGGATGTTAGAACTGTGTCTGAAATGGGATGTTTTGACTGGAATTGTTTTGGATTTGGGTGTTGAGGTCTTCTGATGAAATGTAGCTTGATGTCCTAGCTACCATATGCCTTTGGAATTTCTGCATTTGGACCTGTTTAGACTGAGTTGTACTGATTACAGCATAGTGTAATTTGTAAACCTGCAATTACGGTTCTGGTTTGGTATTTGGCATATATGACTTAGTTGTACTGGGATTTGGACTGAGTGACGGCCTTCTATACATATATATATATATATATTGTTCATTTGTCATTTATCATTTTCAACTGTTGATTTATCATATCATTTGATAATTGCATGAATAATCAAACTCACAGAGTATAGGTTAACAAATATATTCATATGGAAGTAGCCGTAAATAATTGATTCAGTTTCAGTCCCTTAGATAATTTTCCCTATTTTCTTTAGTTTTTCTTGCACAATGTAACAATAATATATCTAAAAACAAAAATACAGAGTACGGAATGGGTGTTGCGGCATCAACTCTGGGGGATGTCTACAGCTATGGAATTCTTTTGCTAGAGATGGTCACAAGGAAGAGGCCAACAGATTATATGTTCATGGATGAGGTTGATCTGCACAATTATGTTAATAGAGCCTTGCCTGGACAAGTTTATGAGATCGTGGACCCCTTGCTTCTTTCTAAAGCAAGAGATGAAAACGAAAGAATGACTCCTGGAGGGGATAAACTGAGGGTGGAAGAGAGATCGAGTGTGCTATTTCCCTGTTGAAAATCGGGCTCAAATGCTCAGAGAAATCGCCAAATGATCGTATGCACATGAATGAAGTTGTCGGAAAATTGCATCATATTAAGGATGTTTTTCTTGGTGTCAGGGCATATCAAAAAAATCTTGAACCTTAATAGCCACAGGTACATACAAGAATTTAATACGGTTCACAAGTTGAAGTTCATTTCTTCTATTTTAGATGAGCAATTTTATTCTTGATATCGTCTTATAAGCTAACTCATTCTATTATTCGGAATCTAGTTGACAGGTGCCGAATTTGTGCAATAATAATAAATAAATAGATAAAACCTAATTACCACCAAAAGGGTTCGGCAACTAAATTTCTCTCCAGTCCCTGAGGAAACAACCCTGCTTGCCACTGTCTACTAGTTAGTGAATTTAGTCAGATAATTAATTTGGATATATCGGATTAAGCAAACTCTTCGGGAACAGGGTGAATCAAGTAACCCATTACACACCTAGAGTCCCTATTCCAGTACCTCGAATTGATTATTGACTACTTTTGATAGTAGTTAGGTTTTATTTATTATTATTGCACAGGTTCGGCACCTGTCACCTTTCTTTCTTTGTTCATCTTCGTGGTATTTTCTCCAACAGACTCAAGTCTTCTAATCCTTGCAGAAAAGACATGCAATGTACTAAAATACAAGTTTAAAAAGTTAAAATTATAGAATTAAAAAGTAAGTCATCAGCAACTATTTGATCCTTCCTAACAAGTTTTATTTATTTTTTTGATAATTTCCTAACAAGTTTTTGAGTTAAGTGGATAGAGACTTAAAAGCAAGTCACTATCAATAATTTGGTCCTTCCCACTTATCATAGACGAAAGTCTTTTAGTAGACGGACAGCCATAGACCTGAAAGAATAATAAATTGTGGCCACCAACATAGAAATTGTGAGTATTCGGATTGGTCAATATTGACGACCCAAATGAGGGTTTAGCAAAACTTTGAATCTCATTTTGCTGAAAATTGCAAGAAGAGAAATTTTTTTGTTGCTTCTTCCATACCCATCAAATGAGATTCTTAACTGTCTTGATTGCAGACTAAAGTGGAAAGTGAAGGCAAAGACCAAAACAAAGCAAAATGGACAAAATATTGTCATCCCAAAGTATTGTCAAGAGTGTAATTTATTTCAACAAAAAACCAGTGCCTTTCTCCAGTCAACCTCCCCTCATCACGCCTTGTACTTCTCAAGATGACAATCTCGACTATAAGAATAACAACTAGTTCACTGGAGAGTCGCCCCCCCGGAAAGAGAGAGGTGGGGTTCTCACAAGGCGTGATGATGCCCAGGTTGTTTAACTTGTGACAGGGATTGGTGGAAAGTTGGTTAATGATATGGTTAAACACATTAGCCACCAATGCAAGGGGAGAGCCTGTAAAGGAATTGATGTGCAGTTGTAGAATTTGTGCAAATTATTGAAAATCATGCGTGAAAACAATCCAAAAAACTAACTTGAAGAATCAAAATCTCACGACTCATGCTACGAACAAAATTGGAATGATAGATTAATATGAAAGTTCTAGCAAAGTTTTATCCCAAAAGCTTTATAAACATCCACTGATTTCATATATTCCCACATGACCCCCTAATGTTTCAAAATATCCATTTCACTTCTCTAATTTTATGTAAAGTAGAAATGTGACCGAAAATAACCTATGTAATGTCATTAATTGAAATACCAATAGTGCTCTCATTAAATGTTGAATTAATCGCTGGTTTAACTACCCTGTATAAAAGTATAGGCGAATTATGTGGATAAATACAAAAATCATATGGACTAAAGTGTATATTTATATAAAACATTGGAACATTACTTTAATTTTTTTTTCCTAAATGTAGCAGACACCAGATATGCACATATTACATTAAGTCAACATAAAAAAAAACTAAAAATTATAACATCAAAAAACAAACCCTTCTTTTTTAAAAAAAATTAAAAATTTTTCAGAAAATGGCATTAAAACAACATAAAAAAAGGGAAAAATAGGGAACAGATTAAACAGAACTCACCTAAGCCAACCGACAGATTCTAGCATATCAAGATGCTTGTGATTTGTGTTAATTGGGAAGATCAAGTACTCCACACAAATGAAGGCTTCCTGTTAATCATAATCTCTGGTAGATGATCACATTAAACAGGAGGATAATCACATAATCTCTGGTAGATGATCACATTAAACAGCACGATAATCACATTAATCCCAGCTTTCACGGTTTGAAAAGTATTAGATATGCGTAAATTGCAAGTTGGTGGAATCTTACTGAACATTTCTGTATTGAGTTCTGACAACGAGGTTTAACCCCAAGAATACACCAAGAAAATTAAATCCCATTAGTTCCAAATGTGTGGGCTATATACAAGATTCTGCAACAGCTCAAAACATTCTTCCCATTCCACAGAAACTTTTATCATTCAATCATCAATTTGTTGCAAATTAATCCATCTTTGCCTTCACAGCTCATCGAAATTCCAAATACCATGTGGGGATTTCGCTCATCGACATTAGCAAACATTTTTCTCCTCCTCTCAGTTGCCATGAACTTTCCAGTAAGCCATGTTTCAGCTACTAAACATTTCCAAAATGAGACAGATTGCCATGCCCTGCTTGAGTTCAAGAATCAGATACATGATGACCCGTTTGGAGTACTGAAATCCTGGAACCACTCACAGCACCATTGCCAGTGGGAAGGAGTCGCATGCAGTGCCCGACATCAAAGGGTCATTGCCTTGACTCTGAGGAGTAAGCAGTTGTCTGGAACTATATCTCCTCAGGTCGGAAATCTAAGCTTCATGAGGTTCATCCAACTTGGGGAGAATCAATTCCATGGTGGGATTCCCCAAGAATTCGGTCGCCTCCTCAGGCTAAGAGTTTTGAACTTGTCAAGTAATGCACTCGGTGGAAAAATCCCAGAAAATCTGAGCTACTGTGCAGAGATGATAGCTATTGACCTAGCCAATAATAAGCTAGAAGGGAAGATTCCAATTGATCAGCTAAGCAATTTGAAGAAGCTTAAAGGAATATATTTCACCAAAAACAATTTGACGGGAGAGATTCCCTCTTCCATTGGGAACTTATCATCATCATTGAACGCACTCGGCCTTAACTTCAACAATCTGGAGGGAAGTTTGCCTCTAGAGATGGGGCTCTTGAAAAGGTTGGTGCAATTATTTCTTGCAGCAAATAAACTAGCAGGTATTATCCCTGCCTCTATCTTTAATAGTTCAGCCATTACTTCCATTTCAGTAACCGACAATTACTTTCAGGGCAATCTCCCAATTAACATGGGTCTCACCCTACCAAATCTGAAACTATTAGCTGCTGCGGAAAACAATTTCTCTGGAAACTTTCCCACTTCAATCACCAATGCTTCTGGGCTTGAGATACTTGATCTTTCCCAGAATAAAGTTGCAGGGCAAGTTCCAGCTAATTTAGGAGATCTGACAAATCTTCAATTATTAAATCTTGCTGTTAATTTCTTTGGGAATAATTCTACCGGAGACTTGGACTTCATTGCATCAGTGACCAACTGCAGCAATCTAAGAATTCTTTCCTTGAGTTACAATAATTTTGGAGGCAATATACCTAGAGTCGTGGCCAATCTCTCAAATCAACTCACTGCATTGTACTTGGGAGGAAATCAACTGTCAGGAACTATTCCAGAAGGGTTTGGACATCTTGTCAAATTATATATCCTTGCCCTTGAAGAAAACTCACTTTCTGGGCTCATTCCAAGAGATTTTGGCAAATTACAAAATTTGCAACTTCTGAGTCTGCACTATAATGAGTTGTCAGGGCAAATAATCTCTACCCTATGTAACGCCACAGCTCTATACTACCTGGAATTATCATTTAACCAGTTTGAAGGGGATAATATATTTGACAATGTTCTTATGAACTGTCAAAATTTGCAATATCTGAATATATCTCAAAACAACTTTACTGGAATTATATCACCACATTTTCTGCAGACGCACTCATCACTGATGTACATCAAAATAGGTGAAAATTCGTTTAGTGGTTCTCTGCCTCCTGAAGTTGGAAAGCTTATACATTTGGTGGATTTCAATGTTTCCCACAACCAACTTGTTGGAGACATACCCATATCACTTGCTGATTGTTCAGATCTGGCGAATCTTTTTATGCAAGCCAATTTTTTCCAAGGAACAATTCCACCAAATTTGGCTTCTTTGAAGAGCATCCAGCAATTAGACCTTTCAAGTAATAACTTGACTGGTCCAATACCCAGAGAACTTGAGAAGCTTCAGTTTTTGAGCTACTTAAATCTTTCCTACAATGACATTGAGGGTGAGATACCAAACACAGGGGTTTTCAGGAATGCAAGTCAAATATCATTGACTGGCAACAACAAACTCTGTGGAGGCATTCCAGAATTGGAGTTCCCACCTTGCCCAGTGATTAAGGGGAAAAACAGAGGAAAGCTGAAGGTTATCATATTGCTGTCCATTGTTTTACCAGCAACGCTTCTGGTTCTCGGTGCATTGTTGTTATATTTCTTGGTATATCATAAAGGAGAAAGAAGAATGGTGGCAGGATTCTCTAGCATGCCCCCAAGAATCGATGAGCTCTTACGGCTTTCTTACCATGAACTTGTTCATGCAACTTCTGGATTTTCTCCAGAAAACTTAATTGGTTCCGGAAATTTTGGAGCTGTCTACAAAGGAAGGCTAGAAAAACATGGCAACAAGCTTGTAGCAGTCAAAGTTCTTGATCTTCAAAAGAATGGGGCTTCCAAAAGTTTTAAGGCCGAGTGCAAAGCATTGAGAAATATTCGCCATAGAAACCTCGTTTCTATCGTGAGTTATTGCTCCAGTATTGATTCCAAGGGTGATGAATGCAAAGCTCTAATCTATGAGTTCATGGAAAATGGAAATCTGGACCTGTGGCTGCATCCTTCAGAGACAACTGATCAGGCAACAAGCTCAAGAAGTCTTAATCTTCTTCAGAAGCTAAATATTGCAATTGATGTGGCTTCAGCATTGCAATATCTTCACGACCACTGCGAAGCTGAGATTGTTCACTGTGATCTAAAACCAAGTAACATTCTTCTTGACAATGATCTTGTTGCTCATGTGGGTGATTTTGGATTGGCAAGGCTTCTCCCAAAACCCGTCAACACTTCTTCCGAGCAAAGAACCAGCAGTACTATTGCCATAAAAGGATCAATCGGTTATGCAGCTCCAGGTAATTATTATAATTTACAACCTTTTTATGGTCAAGATGTCACTTAATTGTGCACAGAAATATAGAACTTTTGGGACATTTAATTCTTTAAATTTTTTTTTTCACATTTACATGAGATCTCTAATCAGTAATCACCGATGCATAGTAGCTAATTTGTTCTAAAAGAAGGTCCATTATGCCCCAATCTAACATTTGATTAATTTTAATCACTTATATTTTTTTATATAGTTTTTGTTTTACTACCCAATAATAATATGTCTAGAAACAAAATCTCAGAGTATGGAATGGGTCATGCAGCATCAACTCAAGGGGATGTCTACAGCTACGGCATTCTTTTGCTAGAAATGATTACAGGAAGGAGGCCAACAGATGATATATTCGTGGGTGACCTTGATCTGCATAACTACGTTAATGGGGCTTTGCATGAACGAGTTCCTGAGATCGTGGACCCGTTGCTTCTTTCTGAAGGAAGAGATGAAAACAATCGAATTACTCATGGAGAGAAAACTATTAATGGTGGAAGAGAGATTGATTGCATTATTTCCCTGCTGAAAATTGGACTCAAGTGCTCTGCAAGATTACCAAATGATAGGATGCATATGAATGAAGTTGTCAGAAGATTACATCTCATTAAAGATGTTTTCCTTGGTGTCAGGGTACATCAAGAAAATGTTGAAGCTTAATATCTAAGGTATACTCGAGAATTTAATATCTACAAGTTGAAGTCCATTTTTTCTACATTAGGTAAAGAATTTTATTCTAGGCATAGGCTTGCAAGCTAACTCGTCCTACCAGTCAAAATCTATTCCAGTCCAAAAAAAGAGAAGTCGTGCTCACTAGCATGTAAAAAGATGGCTTCTCATACTAATGTATGAATTCTTAACTTGCAGCTGCTTACAGGTCTGAATCTCCAAGCTGAAGTTGTTAATGGGGTGAGCTAATGAAGAAGACACCTTTGGCTTTTTATTTGAAAAAAAAATAAATGGATGATTCAAACATATTCCTATAGTCTTTCTTTATAAGAATTAGATGTTCTTGGAGGCAGTCAATTGGCTCTATTCTGCTTGAACATCTTAATGCTTCCATATTATGCTTGGATCCAGTGCTTGCATAAAATACAATACATTATACTTACAATGCATAGTCTTGCTCCCATGATTGATTTGATTTACATGAGAACAACATAAGGGGATAAAATGTGAGGATCAATTGTACAATAAATACATATGTTCCCTTATTACCATGTCCATATATTGCTCAATTAAGTCACCTTGTCTCTTAAAGCTAAGGATTTAGCCATGGTGGGGCTCATACTTTTATGCCATATCTTGATGATTTTGAACGTAAAATGTTAGTAGGGCCTATTAAGTAACCTAGGGAATATCAGGCTGAAAGAAAAGTTAAAGAAGTAAATGAAGAGCAAGGAGAAATTTTTTTTTTTAAAAAAAAAGATAAAATGTTAAATAATTGGAGGAACAGCCAAGAAAAAAAAAATCAGAAGGGAAAAGGAGTGAACAATTTAGCTATGTGCAAGTCGCTTCCTCTGGCTCTAGCAGCCCAACTTAGGGTCAAAATTCGTGAGAAGCACAAATGGGGCAAAGTATCAATTGGGAACATTGTACAATTGTAGTAATAACAGACTCTCCATTAGCAGGGAAAAAGGAAAGCAAAAAAGTGTATAGGGGGCAAAGTGTAATATTTTGACAAAACTTAGATTGTTTTTTCAGGGAATGTTTTTACAAAATTAGTTCATGAAGCAAAGTGAAATACCGAATTATATGAAGGTACACTTTGTTGCTTTGATAATATCATTAAGGCTTAATCTTTTTTGCACCATTAATGAATATATTTATGAGTTTAGATGCATGCCACGCTATTTCAGTTTGAATTTAAATATCAAACTTTGCAAGCGTCTAAAAACCTACTTGTCTATATACCATTAATGATTTGTTCATTAAACAATCTCATTTTCAACTTGTTTAAAATAACACCATTATTTTAGCTTTTATTTGTGTTAATTGCACTTTGCACTCTTTGCTCCGACTACCATTTTCATTCTTAAACTACACTTTACTGTAAATTTCGTCCCGCTTAAATACAATTCTTGATGGAATGCTCAAAATTAATAGATAATTCCCATATTCCGTTAACTTATCATTTTAACTAAAATTAACCAGATGTATTGGTACATAAATGTCAATTCAAAAACCCTTAAAAGCTCTTAAAAATTAAAAGCATTTTCTTTTTCTTCCTTTGTTCTTACAATTTTTTCATTTCGTTTTCTACTGCCACCCAAAAGGTACCACCATCGCTGCACCATACAATCAATAGTTTAGGCCAAGTCTAACACCGGAATCAATAGTATGCATGTCTTTGTATCTCCATCATTGAAGACCAATATCCACATAATCATCCGCTACAAATATGTATCCAAAGGAAATCAAACCCCTATATCCAAAAAAAAATCCCAACTAAAAGAATTATTCTCAACCAAAACAACAACGACGGTACAACTAATGTTGCAGTCAATGTAAAAATTGATGAAAAAAGGGTGTGATATGAAAAAAAAAACAATTTTTCCTAACTACATTTGACTTTTGAATTCCTCGATTAATTTTTTTTATTTAACCAATTTCATGGGTAATCTTTTTTTTTTTTCAACAAACGAATTTCATGGGTAATCTAGGTTTGAAAATTCCACCATCGTTGGATCAGTTTCGTGGCTGTCATTTGAAATCCTTAGTACCCTTAAAGCTTAATGGTAGCAATTTCTCATCTCTGCAAGTTGGATGTCAAAAAACTCGTCGAAAAAACACTATTCTATAGTAGTAATAAAGTTTAAAATGCCATAGTCTTTAAGATCTAAGACAACAAGATGACTATGGAGTTTACTTCTTGTACAAGCAGGCCCATAGTCATTAAGATCTAAGACATCAACATTAAAACATCAACTATCAACTACGGAGTTCACTTCTTGTACAAGTAGGTCTAAACAATGGCCCATAGTCATTAAGATTTAAGATATTGCATAGTACATCTTTTTTGACTCGGTAAGAAGACCTTTAAACCTTTCAACAGTTGTAAGAAACACACACACCCGAATCTAAAGTGATTCCACCAGTTTACCCAAAAGGCAATTGCTGACTTCTGGGTAAACTCACGGACCGTAAATCCAAACACACGCATACCTCTCAAACCGATGTGGGACAAGATTTTGTGGGGAAAGGGAACGAGGGAAGCTTAAGGGCCTTAAATAAGAACCCACCACACACTACACTCCTCGCCTATTTTTCTTGTCTTTCAACAGTTGTAAGAAACACACACACCCGAATCTAAGGTGATTCCACCAGTTTACCCAAAAGGCAATTGCTGACTTCTAGGTAAACTCACTGACCTTAAATCCAAACACACGCATACCTCTGAAACCAATGTGGGACAAGATTTTGTGGGGAAAGGGAACGAGGGAGGCTTAAGGGCCTTAACTAAGAACCCACCACACACTACACTCATCGCCTGTTTTTCCTGTCTTTCAACAGCTGTAAGAAACACACACACACCCGAATCTAAGGTGATTCCACCAGTTTACCCAAAAGGCAATTGTTGACTTTTGGGTAAACTCACGGACCTTAAATCCAAACACATGCACACCTCTCAAACCGATGTGGGACAAGATTTTGTGGGGAAAGGGAACGAGGGAGGCTTAAGGGCCTTAATTAAGAACCCACCACACACTACATTTCTCGCCTGTTTTTCTTATCTTTCAACAGCTTTCAACAACTGTAAGAAACACGCACACACCCAAATCTAAGGTGATTCTACCAGTTTACCCAAAAGGCAATTGCTGACTTCTAGGTAAACTCACGGACCTTAAATCCAAACACACGCACACCTCTCAAACCGATGTGGGACAAGATTTTGTGGGGAAAGGGAACGAGGAAGGCTTAAGGGCCTTAACTAAGAGGGAGGCTTAAGGCCCTTAACTAAGAACCCATCACACACTACACTCCTCGCCTGTTTTTCTTGTCTTTCAACAGCTGTAAGAAACACACACACACCCGAATCTAAGGTGGTTCCACCAGTTTACCCAAAAGGCAATTACTGACTTTTAGGTAAACTCACGGACCTTAAATCCAAACACACGCACACCTCTCAAACTGATGTGGGACTAGACGATGTGGGGCATTTCAGATTAACCCATTGGAAAGCGCATAATTCGCGAAATACCCCTTTTTTTTATAAATCGCAACTATCCACTTCGATAAAATTTGACAGAGATACACTTACTTTGGCTCAATAAAATATCAATGATAGATTGGCTGAAGACAACTTCTAATTTGATTATAATTTTTTGGTTATTGAAGTGGAGGTGAAAATTAATTAGTCCATAATGCAAAACATTAGGAATTTAACTACTAATTGTGCCTTCCCATAATGCAGAAGATCACAATAGATATTCATAAACCTATTTCATCTCTGGACTCGTTTATAAGTTCATTGTCATGGATCGTATATATTCTTCATTATTGAGCAGACACTTTTTAATCCCAGCTTTCACGGTAGCAGTATCAGACTAGATGAAGCTTACTGACCATTTCTATATTAAGTTCTGACAACGAGGTTTAGCTCATTTTCCGCAGAATATACCAAGAAAATTATTTCCAATTGTGTGGGCTATACACAAGATTCCATAACAGCTCAAACATTATTGTTCCCATTCCGCAGAAACTTTGATCATTCAATCATCAATTTGTTGCAAATTAATCCATCTTTGCCCTCACAGCCCATCAAAATTCCAAATACCATGTGGGGATTTCACTCATGAACATTAGCGAGCATTTTTCTCTTACTCTCAGTTGCCATTAACTTTTCAGTAAGCCATGTTTCAGCTGCAAAACATTTTCAAAATGAGACCGATCGCCTTGCTCTGCTTGAATTCAAGAAGCATATATATGATGACCCATCTGGAGTGCTGAACTCCTGGAACCATTCGCAACACCATTGCCAGTGGGAAGGAGTCACATGTGGTACTCGACATCAAAGGGTGATAGCCTTGACTCTACGGCATAAGCAGTTGTCTAGAACCTGACAGGTGTCGAGTTTGTGTAATAATAAAAATAAAACCTAACTACCACTAAAAGCAGTCAATAATCAATCTTAGGTACTGGAGCAGGGACTCTAGGTATACAATGGGTTACTTGATTCACCATGTTCCCGAAGAGTTTGCTTTATCCGATATACCAGAATTAATTAGTTGACAAAAATTACTAACTAGTAGATAGGGGCAAGTAGGGTCGTCTCCTTAGGGATTGGGGATATTTGTCTCTCTAATATTCCAATTGGTAAAAAGAAGATTTTATCGGAATCAAGCTAAAAATAATTAAGCAATTCAACTAAAATGAATAATTAACTAGTACGAATGTAGACAGGAATTAAATCAAGAATAGATAAATTCTAGTCAAGGATACAACTACTCAAACACAGTCCATTCATCTGATCGGTGATGCAAAGGAGGTTCACTTAATTTATTAATAGGCTAGTTATAGTCGCCGACGAGCTCTAATGACCAATTTTTTCTTAATTTATTGACAACCAAGGTACGATCATTGATTACCCCTAAACTAAAAAATACTCCTTGGTACGACCGTAGGAATTACTTTTTCAATTGCATTAAGAACTAGAAAAACCTAATCCCAACCAATAACACGTTACAAGGGTTATTTAAATCAGATTGTATGTTCCCCTAGTGTGTAATAACGCTAGTTGCCACTAATATTAATCGATTAAACAATTACGAATTTAATTGACTAATTTGGCAGGAGATTAATAAGTCACATTGAACATCGGGCTTTTGATATCCAATTAACAAAATAATCCCATGAAAATTCAAGTAGACAACGTGCAAATATTAACAAATTAAGGAACACATGAAAACTAATTAGATCTCACAGATATTCGGGACTGTGCCATCGAGTTGATCCTTGACTAGATGAAAAGCTTAGCCGCGCCTCATGAGAAAATTCCCACGCAATTCAATCGAATTCAAA